AAGAGTCACCACCGATTTTTTATTTTATCCTAAGGAAAGGTCAAAAAGCACAGGAAAGACCTTTGAGATGTTTTCGTAAGTTCGGGGGGTAGATTATGAAAAGGGAAGGTGCTAGCACCCTTTTCATCCATGGTTATCCATGGGCTCTTAGTTACTTGTTTTAGATCACTTGCCTTTGCTTTTCGATTGCTTGAAATGGTGTTTTGTGTGTGTGGTTTTGAAAATGTTTTGAAAAATATGCCTTGTCTAGGCAACCTTTGTAACAATTCGTTTGAATGTTTTACAAAGGTGTTTGTCTTTTTGAAAAGATGTTTCAATGTTTTGAAAGTTTGTTTTGAAATTGTGGAGTGGAGTGTGTTTTGAAAAATGGCAAGGATGTTTTGCAAGATTTTTGATCAAGTAACTAAGAGTTGTCTACCCTATTTTACTCAAAGATCTTTCTTATGTTTTTAACCCTTTTAACAGTGTTGCTTCACCATTGTGTTTGGTGAACAACCTTGCATTAGGATGTTGAACGGGACGGGCATGGGACGTTTGTATAGTCATAGAAGGCAACATATGGGACGTTTTAGCAATGTCGTTTTAGGGACTAGATCATTTACCGAAGGCAAAATCGAGGGTCATCGAGGGACTACGATCTTTTATCGAGGGTCTTTGCTAAAACGCCCATGCTCGAGGGACATGACTATATTCCGAGGCAACAAGTGAGATTACCCTAAGGATGCATGTGTGCAAAGTGTATTTTATTGCATGCATTTGTCTTTGATTTTTAGGTTGTCTACTTGTTAGTTTTATCTTGCCATACACACCTAGTTACTAGCATTTGTACAAAGCAATAAAAATGCAAGAAATAAATATCCTACACTATTACAACCATATTGAAAGGCAAGAAAATAAAGAAAAAAATAAGATAAAAAGAAGAAAAAATGAGCTCCTTCGATTCAGGCAGGAGCACCCTTCGATTTGTATTCTGCTGGCCTCCTTCGATTGGGAGTTCGCACCAGTGAGGTCATGGCCTTCGATTGGGCTTTGGCACCAGTCAGGTCATGTACTTCGATTGGAGGATGGCACCAACATGGGAGTGCCTTTCGTCTGAGCCTGGACTTAGTGCAAGCGTGCCTCTGGATGGGCCTTTCTGCCTTGTTGCCTTCTTCGTTTGGGCCAGTGAAATCAGTGTAGGCATGTTTTTCGTCTGGGCCTAGAAGTTAACATGGTTTTCCTCCTGGTTGTCTCTTTCGTTTGACCTGGAGAAAAAGGGTAGAAGCCAGAAGCTTCGTTTCCTATTTCCTGTTTCCTGTTTCTTTCATTTAAAGCATTAAATGGCAACATGGCCCGAGGCCATGCTAGTATTTGTCTTTCAAACAGTTTAATAGTTAAAGCTAGTTCAGGTAAATAGAAAGCAAAACGAACGGGTTGACTTTAAAAAACATGTTAAAAGGGTGGAATCAAAGGAACAGTGGTATGTACATGTTTGAAACGAACGAAAAGATTATTTACATGTTATGGCATGAAATGAAAGGTTCAAGGGTAAGAGTGACTTACCTTGATGGAGGATTTGAATGGGTGTGGGACCTTGAGTGGAGGCCCAAGGTTCTGGATTTGAAAGAGAGGACCAACAACTGTGCTTGGAATGCTGGATTTGAAGGAAGGAAAGAAACAAGTCTTATGTTTCTTTCCAAACTGGATTCAAAGGATACTGAAGAGTACTTGCTCTTCAGAAATGAAGGAAGTAAGTATGTGATTCTGGGTTTGTTCTCAAAATTGTTGAAGGGACTTGAGAGATTTGTTGTGTTTGAGAAAATTTGGGAAATTCGTTCCTCTGGTCCAAAAATCCTCTCTTAAACATGTGTTGGAGCCTCTTATTTATAGGCAAAGTTGGCTGAAGCTTTTGGAGGGAAAACAAAATAATTTGAACAATTTGGGTAAACTGCTCTTTGTAGCCTTCGAGGGACAGTGCTTTATTGCCATTTTGGTGCAAGGAATTGGGCGGCAGTGCAGGACTGCTGTGCAGCAGTTTTGGAGTTTTATGGACAGTGAATCAGGCCCGAGCCTGGCAGCGTATGTGACTTGGTCGACAAATGCCTTTGGCCTCTCGTCCTTTTGTCTTGACTCCCTAGACTCACCTTTCGACCAGACTTTCAGTGACCATCTCCTTTTTTCAATCAAAGTGACGTTCGAATGACTCCCCTAGACAATCCTTCGAATGGGCCAAATTAATGCTCTTGGGATGGATCAGTAATATATGTCCTTCGAATGGGGACATCCAAACATACCTGACAAAACTCTTTGAATGCACCACCAAGATGCTTTCTTCGCCTGAGGCAATGGCATAGTGAAGAGTTTGTATGCTTGGAACCGGCCATTTCTAACAGGAAATCCTTCCCACTCAAATTTACCTACAAAGGGGCCATATGACCAAACGAAAGAATGAAGAAACACTTGTGCCCAAGGATTCACACCCCCAAGCGAAGGATGTGTGCCAGGGATGGAAGGCTCAGTCGAAGCTTGCAACGCCATGGGGTACATGTGGTCAAACGAAAGGCAAAATGTTCATATTCGAAAGAGACAAATAGGGAGCAAGAGGTGCAAATCGAAGGATGTTAAAAGAGAGCCTTTTGCCTTGAAAATGAAATAGATTACAAGAGGCTCTTTTCCTTGTGAATCCAAACCAAACTGTGTCAGAGGCCCATGCCCAGTCGAAGGATGCAAGCCAAGCTTGTGTCAAAAGAGGTCAAAAGGCCAATCAAAGGATGCAAGCCAAGCTTGTGTCGAAATAGGCCAAAAGGCCAATCGAAGAATGCAAGCCAAGCTTGTGTCGAAAGAGGCCAAAAGGCCAATCGAAAGAGCTGAAACGAAGAACACTTGTATTTCTCCAATTTTTGTCAAAATAATATTTTTATCTGTTTTCTCCCTTTTTGACAGTTTCCTTTTAATTTTGGTACTGGAAAATTCCAAAGTACTTGTTCTAGCTTGAACTTTGAGAATCCTTGTGAGAAAGGCCTTGAAGAATGAGAGGACAAATTTTGGGGTACAACAACTATTTATTCTAATGATAGTTTTTAAGAGTTTAGTAAAGATCTTTTGTTATTTCTCTCGAAATCTTATAAGTCTAATTGATTTGTAATCTTTCTTCTTCTCTTTGTCAGATTGATCCTGCTTTTAGTGTAAATAGGTTGGAGAATTCTTAATTCTCCCTTATATAATAGTGTAACATGAATATATATATATATATATATATATATATATATATATATATATATATATATATATATATATATATATATATATATATATATATATATATATATATATATATATATATATATATATATATATATATATATATATATATTACAAAAGTTTATTCTCTCCATCCGTTTTAAAATAAGTATCGTTTAAGATTTTTATACTAAAATTAAAAAATGTAAAAATAGTGTCATAAGATATCGTAATCTTTTTATATTAAACTTATACAATAAATGTGTTAAAGTAGTATAGAGAATAATAATTAAAGAACATAATTAAAAAATTACTAATAATTATTTCTACATTAAAAATGAAAATAATATTTATTTTAAAATAGAGGGAGTAATAAATATGATCATGCAACATCAACTGATAAAATAGTTAACATGCGGATATTGTAATTCGTAAGTAAGACAAGTTTCATAAATCCGTGGAGAACTGGTTGAAAAGTGAAGTATACATCATAAAAATGTCAAGTGAACGATGCTTATACCAATACTAAAATCATATAAACTGCATTTGTTTTGGAAAATGCTACAAATTACAGAGCCACTTGAATTCAGATAAACTTATATGAATGCACAAAAAGAGGAATAGAAACGTAAGCAATGTTAATGAGGTACAGTAATTATATGACTCGTTGCCCACTATTTTAATGACCCTAGTAACAGTCAACAGATAGTGAAGACTCTTTATGATGTCCTTATCATAAACAAGTAGACAGTTACAGCATTTATTTGATTTTAGCAGCATTTTAGAAACAAGATTCTTAACTATAAAGAACATTTTGAACAGTCAGCAGATTGTGCTTAGTGTTCCTGTGATCTTACTGACATGTCGAATGCCAATGTGACTTGGTAAAATCTGTGAAGAATACTAGATAAATTGAATTACTATGAAGCTACATCGCAAACCTCTCATCTTTAGTATTTGAAAAGAGGTAACGAATCAATATTTATAAATTTCCAGCAAACTTCTTCAATTACGGACATCTTGTTATTTTCTATTCTATCAAATTACTTTAGTTTTTCTTTTAGGGAATTAAAAGGTAGTTTCCATGCGAAGGAAAAGGATAAAGAATTTAAATATTCCAATACAGCGTAAAAAAAATATGGAACAATTGTATCATTTTCCGCTCCACTTTTAACATTTTCTTTTTGCTGCAATTAGAAAAAAGTTTGCTCGAGAAGAGATAAAGCCCAGGCAAGTGATGAGAATAAGTAGGTTTCAGGCCAAGGGTGAAACTCTTACATTAACTATGATTGATCTGAACTGCAGACTGAAAACAAAAGACTAATGCTGCTCAAAAGAGTATGTTACAAAAGGAGAAAAACACGAGTGCATAAAAAACCTTCAAAAAGTTATTTGGACTGGACATATGGCCTGTTTCTGGTTGAAAATATCCAACTTGGCCAGGTTATTCAATACACCATTACTGTATTCAATATCTAACCACAATCATAATCATTCCCCAAAGATAAACTGTCTGCTAATGTACAGTAGTTTTGTAGCATAAAATAACACAGCCTCAACAAGCTTGATTTACAATAAATAGAATACAATTAATTCTCCCCAAAAAAGAAAAAGAAAAATATTTTAGAGTGGAAACCATTAAAGAAAGTCATATCCCTCACCTTTTCATTAAAGAATAAAGATACGGCGAAAGGAGAAGAACATGTGCTACATATTACAAAATAAATCTTGAGACATAGAATGACTGAACATGAATAATGAGAAAATAGCGTAGCTCTGTCTCATTTTGAAGGAAAAGAAAGATTGCTCTCAAGCATAAAGGATAGATCATGCATTTGTGACATCAACATCTCTACGTCATCTTTGGATCCTACGTCTGCGGTGGAAAAATCTCTAGGATTTTGCCTCACAGTATCCTCATCAGCCACCCTAAACATGTAACAAGATAAAAAATAAATTTCTATTATGAACGTACAAAATGTCAATCAAGATCAAATTTAGCCTGCAGAATGTTCGAAAACTACATCAATTTATCAATGATAAAATGCAAAGCCTAAGCATTACAATTTAAAGGATGAAGAACTTCCAAGTTCTTAAGTGCTTCCAAAGTAGATAAATACAAGAAACAGGGAAGAAAAGATATATTTAAACATTGATGTTCTAATAAGGACATGATATGAAGAGAAAGACCCTTTAGTTTGTTCCTTCCCATGTCCTTTAAGCTCCCTCCCATTCAATTCTACAAGGAAAATCTATTTGAATTCATAACATGCATGCTACAAAATGTTAATTAAGTTGGCTTATACCTATTACTTGGATGTGTCAGTTTCCTCACAGGATTACAAATTTATACACATCTCTTGCATTGAATTATACAACTACAATACAACTAAATGTAGACTGATATATTGAACTCAAAACTCCTAAAGATGTTAATAAATGGACTCAATGGCCATCTGATTTGATGCTCAAAAATTGGTTGAATTCAATTATGCATATTTTTCTAGAATAAAATAATGCAACTGAGATAATATCAAGGCACCTGTTTAAAGAAGCAACTGTATGCTGAGCATTGATTGCAGCAGGAGTACTCAGTGGATTATCAAACTGTCTTAAAATATCATGTTGTGAAAATCCACTAAAATCCATATCATATGAGCTGTTTGATGATCCAAATAAATTCATTTCAAAGGTCTTTTCAGAATGAGTTTGATTCAGAGTTTGTAAAGGAACATTTTTGAAAGGATCTTCTTGTCTAGAGGCCGTGTTAGTAAAGTCACTCCAAACATCAAAGGGGCCCGCGTTATCTTTAGTGGTCACAGTGTCGGTTGTTTTGTTATTGCTAACTTGCCATTGGTCATCTTGCATCCAGTCCAAACTTTTAACTTTAGAAGCATTATCACCCTTTACTGTATTGGTATCATGAAGATCAGCAGTAAATTCAGATATCCCGGTCTGGTCTTTTATCTCAGAGTGTGAAACACTACTAGAAGGATTTTGTGAAATGGCTGAACTAGTAAAATCATTCCATGCATCAAATGAATCACTAACTTCATTAGCAGTCGTAATACCAGTTGCCTTGTTATTGCTCCCTTGCCATGAGTCATTTTGCATCCAGTCAAAATTACTAGCTGAACCAACATCACTTTCTGCCCTTTTTGTTTTATTAGGATCTTCAGTCATTTCAAATTTCCCAGTCTGGTCAGTTTTCTCAGAATTGGAAACATTGGGGGAAGAATGTTGCACACTGGCTGAGCCAGTGAAATCATTCCATGAATCAAACGAAACAGTAGCTTCTTTAGTACCAACATTATCAGTTGCCTTGTTATCATTATCTTGCCATTGGTTATCTCCCATCCAGTCAAATTCCTTGTTAGAAGAACTATTAGCCCCCTCTTCCGGTTTTGCATCAATTAAATTTGCCGCAGGGAATTCAAAATTGCTGGTCTGGGCAGTTATCGTTGAGCTGGAAATTATACCAGAAGGGTCTTGAGTGCTTGTTGTGCCAGTAAAATCATTCCATGAATCATCTTCATCAGTAGCTCCAATATCGGGTATTTTGGAGTCACTCTCTTGCCATTGGTCATCTTGCATCCAATCCAAATTTCTAGTTGAGGAAGCATTATCAATTTCTTCTCTTTCCGTGTGATGGAGATCCCCGGTCTTTTCCAACTTCCCAGACTGGCCATCTATCATTGAATTAGAAGTTCTAAATCCATCACCCTGAAACCAATCATCTTCGGATGCTGAAGGATTGAAATCATCACTCTTCGTTACACCAACATAATCATTTCGAAATCCAGACACCATATCCAATTTAACTTTAGAATGATCAACTGACTTGAACTCTTCATGAACAGGACCAGAACTAGCAGACTTGAAGTTAGCCTCCCAACCCGAAAAGGAATCACCACTCCGATCCTCTACAGACCCTCCCAGTGCCTCCGAAGCTTTGACATTCTGAAACAAACTGAGATTCTCATTAGCTTGGAAACTGTTATCTGAAGCAGCCCCCACATTTCTTTCAGACACCGAATTCAACTCAGACACATTAGAATCAAATTCCCTCCGCTCAAAAAAACGATCAACATCAACACCAGACAAACTCAACGAACTTTCCCCTGGAAATGCTTCCGAATCTGAATTACTCGACAGTGTTCTTTCAGCCTCAGAAGGCTGCCATTGAATTTCCAAATCTAAAAGTTCAGATAAAGGAATCTCAATGTTTGACTCACTCCTCGCTCTGTTTGATGTAAGTTCATCCACTATCGGTTCCACCATCTCCTGCAAACCAATCGAGTTAACATTACAATACACCAAACCACACACACATACACACAGCCTGATAAAACAAATTATCAAAACTAGATTTCAAAAAGTGCATACCAATTATATCAAAAAAAAAAAAAAAAGTTAAAACAGAGAACATTATATCAAGATAAAACATAAAATAAAAAATTTCCAGAATTAAGGGAAGCGCAGTTAATTTAAAATAATTGAATCGAAAGTAATACCGATCCATCAAGTTGAAGAGATTCAAGCAACCAACGATATCCAAGAGTGTTCTTAAATCTGATAGGATCCGGAGGAAGATCTTTGTGAGGATTTGCGCCACAAAAGACGCAGATGAAGGACTGGACACCGCGGAGGAGCCTTCCATTGCAATTCTTGCAGCGGAGATGAGGTGGCGAGGGATCGAGTTTCGCGACGGTTTCTGTGACAGAAGCTAGCTTCGGGAGAGGGAGATTTTCGTCTTTTTCTGGGTGGTACCATGAGAGGTTGGCCTGTTGGCGGAGAAGGATCTGTAAGTGCTTTATTTGATCTAGAGGTATCTCGAACGCCATTGATAGGGTTTCGGTGATCGAATTTGGGTCAGAGTTGCGTTTTTCTTCTTCCGTCGTTGATACAGAGGTTCAGTCCAGTGGTGGCTAGTGAGAAATTTTGTTTCTTGGAATGTAACCATCAGATTTTGTTCCCAGAAAATATGTACACTTGTGATATCAAAAATATGAAAATGATTATCACAAAAAAATATATGAAAATGAAAATGCTAGTATTTTGATAATCAATATTACACATAATCTAATTAAAATTATTATATTTATTATGTCATATGTCATATCATTTCTTTAAAAATAAAAATAGATTTAATTGAATACATGTTTCTCATTAATTGATTGAGTATATTTTTTTTTTCTCGATTTTTTAATGGATTAGATTTTTTATCTACAATTTTAAATTTTGTTAAATCTCTGTCATAGATCCACAATGAAATAATGTGAATGTTAAGTTGTTGCCTGTAAATAATAAGTTGTATGGCTCGAGTACATGATCAAAAGAGTAACGGTTGATCCATCGTCGTCTGAATGTAATGAAAAATAAGTAAGGGTTCTCGTGTTTTCTTGAACGAATGTCGATAAAGAAGTTAGTTCATGAGAAAATGATTCGTTTTTAGGTCATGAAATATAGGCACACTTACTAGTAGGGTTGTTCAAAAAAACTATGAACTGGACTGAACCATCGAACTGAACCAAACTGAAGTTAAAATAACTAAATTGTTATGTTTAGTTAGTGAACCATACCATATTACACAGACAGTTCTAAAACCGAACCGAAATTGAAACTGAACTTAACCGAAACTCAAGCTGAACCAAACCAAAACTGAAAGTGAAAAAAATAAAAAATAGTTGAGTGGTTCGCTTCTTTAATAAATGGTCCAGTTCAGGAGAAATTGTCTTCTAACGGTTTGGTGCGGTTCAAAATTTTGAAACGGTATACTAAACCAATAATGTTGGTTTAGTTCGGTTCGGTTTGGTTCTGAGTAAATTAAATCGGTTCGTTTCAGTTCGAAGAAACTTTTACTATGATTTGGTTCGATTTAGTTCGATTTTCGCTCAAAATTGTATAATGAATAGTCCTACATACTAGAAAGTCTATTGAAATAGTGGACGTTATGGTTAGGAAGAATATTAATTTATGTGCCCACAAGAAACTAAGCGGGCAAGTGAGAAGGCGAAAGAATTGGACAAATCGATATCTAAGCTTCGTTACATCAGAAAAGTTAGATCGAAAAATAGGGTGAGGATTATTGTGGACAAGGAGTGGAAGAAGGATATTATGGATGTGAAAAGATTAGGAGATTGAATCACAACGTTAAAATTTGTAGTGGAACAAGAAACCTTTTTAATATTATTAGTACTTACGCACCTCATATTGGGTTAGCATAATACCTTAAGGTAAAATTTTGGGAGGATTTAGAGAATTTACTTCAGGATATACCCCAAGAACATAAACTTTTTCTAGGAGGGAAACTTAATGGAAATGTAGGTAGTGTAACAAGAGGTTTTGAAAGCGTGCATTGAGGGTTTGGCCTAAGGGAGGTGAATGCGAAGGGTAAATCGATCTTAGAGTTTTTGTCGGCTTTGGATATTACTATAGCAAATGCATAGTTTAGGAAAAGAGATGAACACCTTATCACATATAAAAGTGTGGTGACATGTTCTCAAATTATTGTGAATAACGACAAGATTCAATTTCAATCAATACTTTGATATGTGAGGCAAAGAACAATAGCAACCAAAATAAATGGTCTTTAGCAATAATAATCAATAAACAATAAATTTAGCAGAAGAAGATAAAATAATGGGAGAAACATAAAAGGTTTGTTTACCCAGTTCGATCAAAGGATCTACATCTGGAGGAGATAGCAGCTCTCCAATTCATTATACTAAAAAAGTTGTTGCAAGAGATTACAAATGAGTTACAAGAAAATAATCTTCCAAATTTTCAAAACAAACCTTATTTTCTACCCAAGTGTTTGTCAATCTCTCCAACTCTCAATATAAGAATCACACAAACCAAAAGTGTTTAGAAGTATTTCTTAATCCCCTTAGATAACTCCAAAGATTTCTCAAAAACCTTTGCATTTCTAGATTTTTCTTTAGAATTCCCTAAACCTTTATTTCTCCCTATTTTTTTTCTAAAACTCTAAAGTTGTCACACTGTAATAATAGAAGAAATACATATTTATTATTACTAAAATTCAACAGATCCATAACAAATCCAAAACATATTTCATTAATTGTTAAAATAAAAGATATTATTATAATCTTATAATATCACTCAAATATTATAAATATCTTATAAAATTGCTCAAAGCCATGAAAAAATAAGAAATTTTTGACACTTAGAAAAATTTCTAAGTTTTGAAATTTTGACTTTTCAAAATGAAATCTTGATTTCTTGATTTCTTGATGAATAAGTTTTCTATTTTGATATGTTTTGATGAATTGTGATCTCTGGTGCTTAAATTTGACCAAGTCAAAGTTTGACTTTTCAGTATATAGTTGACTTTTGATCAGTTGACTGCAAAATTTATCTGTCAATCCAATGGATTTGCAATATTTTGAATCATGTCATTAGGTGAAAACGATGCAATTGGACTCTTGAGATCATGCCTTAAACCAATTGACCATTTTCTAGGTCAAAAATCAGAAATTGCCCTTTCCCAGTCAAAACCCTAATTTTGACCATTTTGCCCTTTTGGAGATTTGATCAAATATTTTGAGGAATTATGGTCCAAACTTGATAAAATGATACATATGTCTAAAATGTTGATGTGGATAAAAAATTATGAAGTTTGACTGTAAATTGACCATGGTTGACTTTTTTCCCAATACAACTGATTTTTAGGTCAACTGTTCAATTGACTGATCAAAAGTGTGATCCAAGGCTTGAAACTTGACATGAGTAATCTTGGGGGTCCATAATGGTCCATTAAAGTCATATTAAGCATTGATAGTTCAAAAATCCTTGTGCAAACTCAAACCCTAATTTTGGTCATCAGTGCCTAAGGAGGTGTCTTGAGCTGATCAAACCCTAGTGCAGTCTTGAGTCCAAGGAGATCTTGTGAGCAAATTCTTGATAAGTGAGAGGAAAAATTTTGGGGTACAACAACTGCCTATTCTTCCACATGTATAAACACCAAGGAGGATGAAGTAAAGCTATGGCACCAGAAACTTTGACACATTCATCTCAAAAGAATGGAGGGAATTATATATGAATGAGCTATTAGAGGAATGCTAGAACTCAAGATTGAATAAGGGAAAGCCTGTGGTGAGTGTGAAATTAGGAAGAAAATCATGATGTCACATCCAATGTTGTAACATTAGACTACTTCCAAAGTATTGGAACTTCTTCACATAGACTTAATGGGACCAATGCATGTAGAAAGCTTGGGTGGAAAGAGGTATGTTTATGTGATTATAGATGATTTTTCTGGGTTTACATGGGTGAACTTTATTAAAGAATAATTAGACACCTTTTAAGTTTTTAAAGATCTATGTCAGAGTGTTCAAAAGGAGAAAAATAATGTGATTGTCAAGGTTAGAAGTTACCATGACAAGGAGTTTGAGAATGCAAAATTCTCTGAATTTTGTGCTTCTGAAGACATCAATCATAAATTTTCTTTCTCCATCACTTCTTAGCAAGATGGAATTGTTAAGAAAAAGACAAGGGCTATACAAGAATCAACTAGAATCATGCTTCATGCTAATCAATTACCATTGCAGTTTTGGGCAGAAGCCATGAATACTGCCTGCTATATTCATAATATGGCCAATTTGAAGGAAGGCACTTCAACTACTATCTATGAATTATGGAAAGGAAGGAAGCCTACAGTCAAATACTTTCATGTTTTTGGAAGTAAATGCCATGTCTTGACTAACAAATATCAAAAGAATAAGATGAATCCCATAAGTGAGAAAGATATGTTTTCGGGTTACTCTTCAAGCAAAAGAGCTTATAGAGTTTTTAACTCCAAAACTGGAATGAAATTGGAATCTATCAGTGTGGTTATTGAAAAAAGGATGAATGTTAAAGATAATGTCGGAACACCCTTTGTGCAAACTTGATGAGGCAAGAAAAGAAGGAACTTGTGAGTCCACAAGTGTTGATGAAGATAACTCTGAAGTAAAACCAGGTCTCTCTATTAGATTTCAGGCAAAACAACTCAATAAGATCATTACAAGACACTCTAATGAAGTAGGCATCACAAAATTCAATATAAGGAAATATCAAATCCATGTTTTATTCTAAGCTTAAACCAAGGATGAGTCTTATTATTCAAGAAAAGAGGATCTTGAATTGCATCATTAGAACAAGAGGAAGTTTATTTAAACTGATGTTGAAGGAATATGATGTCAAGCAGGATGTCATCATATTACATGGTAAAAATCTGAATTATATCAGATATCTCTTTTAACATGGTTGTAACAAGAATCTTGATAGTCATAATCAACTAATCAAGAATCTTGTTGAAGAAAAGGTTGTTATTCTGGAGATTATGGACAACAAGGAACAACTTACTGTTATATTTAAATCAAATCAGATTGAGAACATAAGCAGTGGGATTGGAACTTTCACTATCGAGGAGTTATAACAATTACATATATGGAGGAGTGCAACAAATACTACATATTTCCTCTATTTTCTGATGCTTGGGAAGCCATCAAGTTGTTATTGTTAAATGATGGAATAAAAAATATCTGCAAGGTTAAAAGGCTAGTTTGAAGGAGACGTGTTCTAAGATAGTGGCAATGAAGTTATGTGTTAACACTTCTAAAACATGTGACAATATGAAAGAGTGCAGAAGGATTTTTGATAGGGGAAAGAGGTGGAAAACCACCTGAAGATGTTCAAGGCAGTGTGTTTCCAGCTGAAGTTGCATGTTTCCATTTCTAGTGTGTGCGCTTCCATTTGAGTTAAGTGTATGCTTCCATCTGTATTTATTGCTTTTGTGCAATATGTGTGCTTCCAATTGTTTTTACATTTGCTCTATTTTTAT